GCACTGAGTTGCCGCCATGTGATTGGCTGATTAGAAATTAAGTGTTAACGAGCAGTTGGACAGGTGTACCTAATAAAATGGCCGGTGAGTGTACACTGTATATATACAGTATATACAGTATATGTATATATATGTACAGTAAATAACATCCTTTGATATATTTTCGTGACAACGCAGAATTCAGCTGAACCCACAGTTAACCTCGTTAGCTGAGAAACGTAATTCTCACTTCCTGTTACTCAGCAGCTAGAGGGGATGTTATTTAATTTATTTTTTGCTTGTAGCCTTAAATGCTGATTTGTTTGTTTTGATCTGGAGTTTTTATTTAATGCTGATGCAGACCGAGGCCTGGCTGCTTCTCTGGGAAGTCGTCTGATTGGCTGATGGAAAGCGGTGATGTCAGTGAGCTCTTTGGTCGTCTTTCAGAGCGTGACTCATCGCATTTAATCAAATAAGCAGAAACTCTCTTTATGTTGAATTCAGATTATATTAAAAATCTGAGCTCTAGTCTTATTATTATCAAACTATTTTTTATGCCGGTGATTTTTTTTTTTTTAGCTTTTAAAGTTCATAATAATCTGTAGTTTCTGTGACGTTCTCTTTCCCTCGGCTGTAATCGCAGTAATGAGCAGGATCCTAACAGGACTCGTCTCATGGYTCACAAAACCCCTTTGTGTGTGTAGCTAAATGTGTGTATTTTACTGAAATACGTGTACACAGACACAGTTTGTCAGCTTCTCTCTTTACTAAACRGTGCTAAAAGCAGCTTTTGTTTGCAGCTGAAAAAGTGTTTCTATAATCAGGTTTTCTGTTGCAGACGTCRAATAAAACATGCATTTATAATTTAATCTAAAATCATACTGTGCACTGAGGATAATTCTTATCATTCCCTGCAATGGGCTTAAATTATCAGACCAGACTGACRTGTTGAAAGGTTCAGATTACTCAAAGTGTTTGACTTTGGGGCTTCTGTTTTCTGCTCGCCTGAGTCTGAATGGACGCGTCAAGTGTTGATAAGTTCTTGGTGTTTGGGGGCGGCCTTGAAGTGCCAGAATGTGCAGATGAAGCATAAACACAGGATCAGCCCGTGAGGTAACAGCTCCACGGCGCTGACGGTAACTCTAAAGAAAACAGTGTTTTGGGTTAAATCCAAGCAGGAGATAATAGCAGCTGAAGTCAGTCGCTTAAACAAATAATCCATTCTCAGGACGTGATTCCTCGTCCTCTTATCTCTCAGCTGTTTATGTTTGCCTGAGCTTAACTGCATCGTAAAAGGAGCAAAGTTGTTTTAAAGAGAATGTAGATAGATTTTCYAAAAGAACAATAATCTGTTTGACTTGTTGCCCTCGCTGTGAGCGGCCATGAACGCCTCTGTTGTCACTCKGGATTAAACTTTCCTGTCAGGATTTTGGAAGGCGGCCAGCAGGGATTATTGTAAATCCAAACCATCAAACCGAAACACCGACGGCTGCCACCAACTAAACCTCTGAAAATAATCAGTTTAATGAGACAAACCTGACTTTGTTTCAGCTGCAGTCTCTATTTTTACTTTAACTATCATTCTCTTAGCTTTTAGCTACCATTTGAGCTACAGCTGATTGTAACTTTTGGCTATCGTTTAGCTACTTTTCTGTTAGCCACTCTTCTGCATCTTTTAGCTATTTTGCTATATTTGGCTTGTGTTATCTTTAGCTACATTTAGCTTTGGTTACTTTTAACTTCTGCCACTATTTTGTGATTCTAGTTACCATACTACGTTTTTTAGCTTTTAGCTACTGGTTTACTACTTTGAGCTACTGCTGAATGTAGCTTTTACCATTTTGCTGCTTTTGRCTTGTGCTACCTTTAGCTACCTTTAGCTTTTGTTACTTTAAGCATTTAGTTACCGTTTTTCTACTTTTAGCTGCCATTCCACTGAACTACTTGAAGTTACAGCTGATTGTAGCTTTTAGCTAAATTTTAGCTACTTATCAGCCACTATTCTGCACCTTCTAGCTACAGTTTTGTTACTTTAACTACTTCCAATTTTAGCTACCATTTGTGTTACCTTTAGTTACATCTAGCATTTGTTACTTGTAGCTTTTAGCTACTATTTTGCTGCTTTTCGCTGTCATTTCACCTTTTTAGCTTTAAGCTACTGATTTACTACTTTAAGCTAATGCTGATTTTGGCTTATTTTTTTGATCATTTTGCCATTTTGACCTATTAGCCACTATTCTGCATCTTTTAGCCACAGTTTTGTAGTTTTAGCTTCTGCTATTTTAAGGTTTTAGCTATCATTTTGTTAAATTTAGCTTCTGTTTTAGTTTTTAATTACTATTTTGCAGCTTTTAGCTAACTTTTTGTCTCTATAGCTACAATTGTGCCTTTTCAGTATCCATTTGATGTTTTTGGTTACTGGTTTGCTACTTTAGTTTCTGTTAATTTTAGCTTTTAGCTACCATTTTTGCTGCTTTAAGTTTCTGCCAATTTGTTGCTTTTAGCTATTCCTTTTCTTAGTGTTTACTTTGATCTACAGTTTTGTTCATTTTAGCTGATTTTGTCCATTTCAGCTGCTGTTCTGCTCGTTAAACTTGTTAAGTAAGTTTTAGCCTCTTCAGTAAATTTCAGCTGTCGTTCAGCTCTCACTGCGTTTTTGCAGCTAAGTGTAAATCTGAGTGAAAATCTGTCTTTCGCAGGTGTTTTTGTGCGTCTGGATGTGAAAGCTGCAGCAGAAAACGATCATAAGAAAGTGTTGTTTTTCCAAACAGAGCGGTTCTTTAATGAAACGCGGGGCGGGGCTGTTTGCTCTGTGGACGGAGGAAGTGTGTGTCTGCACCACACAAACACACACTCGCACAGTGGCAGCACTCATCTCCTACACCTGAGTGAAAACAGATGACTCAGGTTTGCTGCGTTGATGTTTTGAGGAAAATATTTTGGCGTAAAAGTTTAAGAATGATGTTTTGTCGTTCCCAGGATTCGTCCCCAGCTGGCCAAAGAGAAGATGGAGGGCTGTCACATCTGCACGTACGTGATGCCCGGAGAGCCGCAGGTGGTCCTGGGTAAAGACAAGGCCTTCACCTTTGACTTCGTCTTCGACATGGACGCTCAGCAGGACGCCGTCTACGACCACTGCACCGAGAAGCTAATCGAGGGCTGCTTCGAGGGCTACAACGCCACCATCTTTGCGTACGGACAGGTTTGTCTGCAGGCTGATCTGTCATTCTGACATCTTTCTGTTTGGTGACAAAGCTGCTTCAAGGATCCACAGACTCTTTAGCAAATACGCAGCTGTTTTTTTTTTTAATATCACGAGGATGGCCTACGTGTTCCAGCCTGCTCTCACCGCCACGGCTTCATATCAGCTCTGATAGATTAGCCTCAGGGGCGTTGATTACCTCATCAAAGCCAAATGAGATTAACCTCGTCTCATACCAGAACATGGAAGTGAACCGTGAGGTGAAAACCTGTCCTAGAGCTATTAAAACTCAAAAAATGTAGCGTGTTCAAGAGATGACACCATTAATGAATGTAGAAAATATTTTGAGCATCCAAATAATTCTCAAAGTCCTTGCAAAGGGAGATGTGCGCCTCAAACTGTGCTGCCACACGTCGTCTCTCTGCAGCAACACAGATTGTCCACATTTAAATCAGATGTTACTCAAGCGTCAGGAGCAAAACTCTACACTCATCTGCCGTTTTATTAAACGCTTGTTAGCAGAGGTGGCTAATCAGCTAATCACATGTAAATTAACGCTTTATTGTTGTTCAAACAAATATTTAAGTGACTTTGGTTTACAGGAAAAAAAACTTCAGTGAGATGATAAAAAGCAAACCTGCTGAATTTAATGGTTAGTGGTGGGCATGGTTCTGCTAGCTAACAGCGGAGCTAATTTCTCGTTTAGTAGTTTAGTTTTTTTCATTAACTTTGAAAACCGTTAGCGGACCAATTAGCTTTGCGCTAAACAGCAAGCTAGCATCAACAGGTTTGTGTCCCCTTAACTGGAAAGAGACGAAGACGTGTGACGCACACTGTCTTAATGGTTAGCGATTAGCTCTTAATGTTAGCTTCTGCTAATTTTTACTTGTTTTACGTTAGCTTCCTCTATTTAAACATTTTTTTTACATATTTAACATTAGCTTCTGCTATTTTTATGTTTTTTAAAGTGTTTTGCATTAGCAAAGCTATATTTTTTAGTTAGCTATGCTAATTTTTTGGTTAGCTGCGCTCACCACTGCTAATGCGGTTGTTTTCAGCAGCGTATTATTAGCACTAATTGTTCTGTGCGGTTTAGTAAAGCCAGCCGGAGTTAGCGATTTATTAAAAAAAACTGTTTTGGGACTGGACATTTTGGAGCTTGGCTGCTGTGTTCACAGTTGTCACAGACTTGTTGAGTCTGGTCTTTAAAGGGAAACAGAAAGGCTATTTCAATTTAGCGCCCCTTCTTTCAGCTCCCCCCCGTCGGCTCGTCTTCTTTCTGTTCATTATTCTCTCCTCAGAGACTCTTCCTGTGCTCCTGTCAGAGCCTTTCACAGGCTGCAGTGGAGACACACAAAGAGGACACAAACGATCACAGGTGTGGCCTTTTTAAACCAAGCAGCAGGATTCCCTTTTTATCACCATGGCGTCACTCATCTGATCCTCCCCCAAACTGCAGCGCCCCTACCTCTTTTTCATTCCCGAGTCTGAAAAAAATGCTTGTTTTCACATAAAAATGTTGACCTTTTTTTGCATCCAGACGGGTTCAGGTAAGACGTACACCATGGGAACCGGCTTCGACGTCAACATCGGCGAGGACGAGCTGGGCATCATCCCCCGCGCCGTCAACCACCTGTTCAGGGGCATCGAGGAGCGCAGGCGGGCCGCCACCGAGCTGGGCRGGCCCGTCCCCGAGTTCAAGATCAACGCTCAGTTCCTGGAGGTACGAGTCAAAGAGCTGAAACCACTTAAAGTGCCTGTGATGTGCCGATCCTTCAAATACAAAAAGTCAAAGAAAACRTCTTTAAACTTAAGAAAATCAGCATTGTACACATGATTTTACCCATTTTGTCACATAATTGGCCTGTTTTATTTCAAATTTGTCTCAGCCAAAGTAAAACAGGAAGTGACATCAAAGGGAAATTTGATAAAATAAACTCGCTGGTCTTTGTTTATTTAAACAAAATTATTTAAACTTTAACTCTTCTTCATCTCTCTTTGATAGCGACCAAAAATAATCTAAAGAAACATCAGATTCTTTTGAACTTGCCTCAGCAAAAAAGGAAACAGGAAGTGACATCAATGGGGAAATATTTTTAAAAAAGGAACTCTCTGGTCTTTGTTTATTGAAATAATATTGTTTAAATTTTAACTCCTTTTCATCTGTCCCTGATAGCGACTAAAAATAATCTAAAGAAACATCAGATTCTTCTCTACAGTCTGTTTTGTTAGTTATTGTAGCAACGCTCTGTTTACATGCAGACATTCCCCTTTGACATCACTTCCTGTTTCTTCACATGCAAATATCTCAACAACCGTTCATCTCAGCGACGTGAAATTAGTTTTGCAACATGTTATCAGTGTTATCATTCCAAAAATGCATTCATTTTTATTACAAAAATTAGATGTCACAGGCACTTTAAACTTAGTAATACGGTGGAGGTCAAAGGTCAGCAGAGGGTCATTAAAGAGCCTAGACGACGCCTTTTGATTGTTTCTTTTAAGCTGTACAACGAAGAAGTGCTGGACCTGTTCGACACGACTCGAGACCTGGAGGTCAGGAGGCAGAAATCAAACATCCGGATCCACGAGGACGGGAGCGGGGGCATCTACACGGTGGGGGTCAGCACCCGCACCGTGGCCTCAGCAGCCGAGGTCAGCGTTTACCGTCCCGCCAGTTTAATTTGAAGATATTTTCAGACCAATGTGTCGATGGTTGTCAGTGATCCGTCCCCTCCGCCTCTCCTCCAGATGATGCAGTGTCTGAAGCTCGGCGCTCTGTGCCGCACCACGGCCAGCACTCAGATGAACGTCCAGAGCTCGCGCTCCCACGCCATCTTCACCATCCACCTCTGCCAAGTCCGGGTCTGCGCCCCCGACAACAACGTAGGTCCCTCAGACCTTCAGGCCTGCCTGAAACTCTTCACCGTGTCACAAACCTTAGCGTCTGTCCTCGTTCTCTCATCCAGGACAACGTAACCGATAACCGCCTGGCCGGCGACGCGGAGATGAACGAGTTTGAGACGCTGACGGCCAAGTTTCACTTTGTGGAYCTGGCTGGTTCCGAGAGACTGAAGAGAACCGGAGCTACAGGAGACCGAGCCAAAGAGGGCATCTCTATAAACTGTGGACTGGTGAGCAGAGTTGTGAAGTAACTAAGTACAAATACTTTCTTACTGTACTTAAGTAGAATTTTTGAGTATCTGTACTTTACTTGAGTAATTATTTTTCAGCCTACTTTTTACTTCTACTYCTTACATTTTTAAAAAAGGCAAGAAGTAGAAAGTTGTTACTTTTATTTCATTTTTACTTGTTCTCATTCCAGCTTGTTATTATAAAACATAAATACTATCCATATAAACTGAGCCTCYTAGATAGAGTGAATTTAACTGTGGTTGAATGAGAAGTATAAATATATAAAACTCTGATAGTGTATTAGTTTGTACACAAACAAATCATGTCACACTCCAGCAGGACAGAATCATTCAAATCAAAGGACTGTACTTAAGAAGTATTTGTATTTCATGAATTATATTACTGTATTTGGCCTCAGCCCTCAGATAGATTTTCATTATGTAGAAAAGTTTTGAGCAGCCTTGATATATGTATATAAACTGAAACAGCTGGACTAGTGCATCCTAAATTTAACATAATTATTTTAATACAACAGTCATTTCTGCACTGTTTGAGGAGGTCACCTCCTAATAAATGTCATTACAGAAAATCTAACTGCTCATTTTAAATCAATACTTTGACTTTTAATACTTAAGTACAAAAAATATCCGATACATTAAGACTTTTACTCAAGTAATATTCCTAAAGGAGACTTTAACTTTTACCAAAGTAATTTTTTGGTAAAATACTTGTACCTTTACTCATGTATCACTTTGTGGTAGTTTATACAACACTGCTAGTGAGGAAAAAAAAGTGAAACAAACTGAACTTTAATGAAAAAGCAGCTGGAGTCTCACTGTGGAGACTTTAGTTGAGCGAGAGAGACCCCCTGCTGGACAGATTGAGAATTACACCTAATTAATTTTTTATTATTTTGACTTTTTAATGTCGTATCTCAGCTCGCCCTGGGGAATGTCATCAGTGCCCTGGGAGACAGAAGTAAACGCTCGACCCACGTGCCTTACAGAGACTCCAAACTCACCCGGCTCCTGCAGGACTCGCTGGGCGGCAACAGGTTTTGCGTGGCTGTATAATAAAAAACGCTGTTACTTTTTTTGCATTTCCTAATTTTTTTTCCCACTTTTCTAATTTCTCAAGCCAAACGGTGATGATCGCCTGCATCAGCCCGTCAGACCGGGACTTCATGGAGACACTGAACACCCTGAAGTACGCCAACCGGGCTCGYAACATCAAGAACAAGGTGCTGGTGAACCAGGACCGAGCCAGCCAACAGATCAGCGCCCTGAGGACCGAGATCGCCCGGCTGCAGATGGAGCTGATGGAGTACCGGACGGTGAGCGGTTCTCCGGTTATTAACCGGAGAGGGTTTTTATGACGCCTGACTGTCCTTTTCCACGCTCAGGGGAAGCGTGTGGTAGGCGAGGACGGCATGGAGGGCATCAACGACCTGGTCCACGAGAACTCCATGTTGCAGACRGAGAACAACAACCTGAGAGTGAGGGTGAAGGCCATGCAGGAGACCATCGACGCCCAGAGGAGCAGGCTGACGCAGRTCCTCAGTGAGCAGGCCAACCAGGTCCTGGCCCGAGCCGGTACGTCTCCGCCGTCCGGGTGTTGTTCCAGAACGCTCCAGATGTCTTCACGCTTCTTCCTCTGCGTGTAGGTGAGGGCAACGAAGAGATCGGGAACATGATCCAGAACTACATCAAAGAAATCGAGGAGCTCAGGTGAGGAAAGAGCGGCCATGTTGTTTTTATTTACTGGACATTCACTGAACCACTGAGAGTTTTCAAACAAAAACATCCCTCAGAGCCAAGCTCCTGGAGAGCGAGGCCGTGAGCGAGAACCTGAGGAAGAATCTGTCCCGCGCCGCCACCCGCTCCTCGCTGTACGGSAGCCCCGCCTCTTTCTCCTCGGCCCTCTTCGCTCCAGAGAAGGAGGCCAGCGACGTCATCGAGATGGCCAAGAAGGACCTGGAGAAACTCAAGAAGAAGGAGAARAAGAAGAAAAAGAGGTGGGGAGCGTTTCGCCTTCGAACGTCGCCTATTTAATGCTGACTCAGCGTTTATTTACTGCCCTTTCTCACCACTTTAGCTAACGTTGTGCTACTTTAGTTAGCTCACTCAGGAGCTGGTTGACATTTTGTAACTTATCATTTTGGCTACTGCTCTGCTACTTGTAGTGTTCAGCTAGTCATTTTCTGCTTTTAGCTCTTAGCTTCCATTTTGTTACTATTCACTTTTAGCTAGCCTTTTGCTGCTCTAACTACATTTTGCTTTTAGCTACAGTTCTTTTAATTTTAGCTAAAAGTGTCTAAAGACTAGCTAGAAGCTAAAATGAGGGAAAGGTTTGCAAATGCTCGCCTTTAGCTTGTTTACCTTTTAAGCTAAAAGTAGCTCTGCTGCCTTTAAAGGTTAGCTATGCTTTGCTTCATCTGGCTAGCATTTTGCTACTTTTGTGTGGAAGCTAATCTTTTACTGCTTTTAGCTTCTAGCTTTCATCTTGCTATGTTTAGCTTTGAGCTTTTGCAACGTTTAGCTTTTATTTAGCCTCCAGACTTTTTGTTACACTGAACGTTTAGCTAGCGTATGGCTTCAACTAGCTTCTTGCTACTTTTAGCAACCATTTTGATACTTTAGGCCTGTTTTGACTATTAGCTTTCAGTCTTTATAGCTCTCAGCTAATGTTTTGCTATTTGTAGCTCTTAGCTGCCTTTCTGTTACTTTTCATTTTTAGCTAATCTTACCCATTTTTCATTTTAGCTGCTCTTCTCTTTTTCACGTTTAGTCTTTTGCTACATTTAGCTTTTAGCTACCTTTCTGCTAATTATAGCTTTTACTTTAACTTTGCATATTTTTTTCCTTTTAGCTTAACACATTTAGCTACTTTTAGCTTAAACCTAGCCTTCTGCTGCTTTTATCATATGCTTTGCTTCATCTAGCTAGCATTTTGCTACTTTTGAGTTGAAGCTAATCTTTTACTGCTTTTGCTTCTAGCTGTCATCTTCCTAGGTTTAGCTTTGAGCAAGGCTTTTAGTTTTGTTTAGCCTTCTGTTTATATGCTACATTTAACCTTTAGCTAGCTATTTTGCTTCAGCTAGCCTCTTGCTACTTTTGTCAACCATTTTGCTACTTTTAGCTTTGATTTAGAGCTGCGCTAATTTTGGCTTGTACGTAGCGTCCTGTTTCTTTTATCTTGAACACCTCAGTTTCAGCTTCGTCAGCAGATTTCAGCAGTGACTCAGCATTTCTTCTGTTCTTACAGTTTGCTGTTGAAGCTGTGTTTCTGTGTGAGGAGCACATTTAGCCTGACTCAGTCTCTGTCCTCAATCTGTCCCAAACATGTTCCCGTTAACCCTCCTCGTCTCCGTCCGTCTCTCTGAAGGCTGAGGCGATTCGAGGAGAGTCAGGCCCGCGAGGTTGAGCTCGCCAGGTTTGCTACGTTGAGACTAATAAACCCAGCAGCTGGGCTCCGATTTCTAACCACAAATCCTCAGAACTAACCCACCCAGTCTGCACCTGCAGGTGGTCCCACTCCTGAAGGGAAGCAGATTCTTTCAGCAGCTCTTCTAATCCAACGGGTCCTCCTTTTTACTGCAAACTGAAGAATGCTGATTTAATTTAACTATTAGGTCAAAATTGTCAGCCCTCTTTATAAAGTCAAATTAAACTTACTTCAGTTGTTTATACAATGAACATAATTTATTGTATAAATGTTCAGGCGTTCTGAGGGGGCTAAAAGTTTTGGCCTTGTCTTTATACAGCGGGTAAAATAAGTATTGAACACGTCACCATTTTTCTCAGTAAATATATTACTAGAGGTGCTAATGACATGAAATTTTCACCAGATGTTGGTAACAACCCAAGTGATCCATACATACAAAGAAATCAAACCATAAWTGTCCAGAAATGAAGTTATTTGTAATAATGTGGAATGGCACAGGGAAAAAGTATTGAACACACTTACTGAAATTTATCTAATACTTTATACAAAAGCCTTTGTTGTCAATGACAGCTTCAAGACGCCTCCTGTATGGAGAAACTAGTGGCATGCATTGCTCAGGTGTGATTTTGGCCCATTCTTCCACACAAACAGTCTTCAAATCTTGAAGGTTTCGTGGACCTCTTCTATGAACTCTGATCTTTAGTTCTTTCCATAGATTTTCTGTTGGATTCAGGTCAGGTGATTGGCTGGGCCATTCCAGCAGCTTTAGTTTCTTTCTCTGAAACCAACTGAGAGTTTCCTTGGCTTTGTGTTTGGGCTCATTGTCTTGCTGAAATGTCCAGCCACGTTTCATCTTCATCATCCTGGTAGATGGAAGCAGATTTTTATCAAGAATGTCTCTGTACATTTTTCCACTCATCCTTCCTTCAATTATTTGAAGTTTGCCAGTACCATATGCTGAAAAACAGCCCCACACCATGATGTTCCCACCTCCAAACTTCACTGTTGGTATGGTGTTTTTGGGCTGATGTGCAGTGCCATTTGACCTCCAAACATGATGTGTATTCTGGCATCCAAACAGTTCAATGTTGGTCTCATCTGACCAGACTATATTCTCCCAGTATTACACAGGCTTGTTTAAATGTTGTGCAGCAAACTTTAAAGGAGCTTCAACATGCTGTTTCTTCAGCAGTGGAGTCTTGCGTGGTGAGCGTGCATACAGGCCATGGTGGTTCAGTGCATTACTTATTGTTTTCTTTGAAACAATCGTACCTGCTAATTCCAGGTCTTTCTGAAGCTCTCCACAAGTGGTCCTTGGCTCTTGGACAACTCTTCTGATAATTCTTTTCACTCCTCTGTCAGAAATCTTGTGAGGAGCACCTGGTCGTGGTCGGTTTATGGTGAAATAATGTTCTTTCCACTTCTGAATTATGGCCCCAACAGTGCTCACTGGAACCTTCAGAAGTTTAGACATTCTTCTGTAACCGATGCCATCATTATGCTTTGCAACAATAAGGTTGTGAAGGTCTTGAGAGAGCTCTTTACTTTTACCCATCATCAGATGGTTCTTGTGTGATACCTGGCCATCATTTGGGACTGAACCAGCTGATATTAACTTGCACTGACAAGGGGCAGGCTTGCTTTCTAATTACTGAGAGAGTTCAGCTGGTGTCTTGGCTTTCCATGCCTTTTTACACCTCCCTTTCTTCATGTGTTCAATACTTTTTCCCTGTGCCATTCCACATTATTACAAATAACTTCATTTCTGGACATTTATGGTTTGATTTCTTTGTATGTATGGATCACTTGGGTTGTTACCGACATCTGGTGAAAATTTCATGTCATTTGCACCTCTAGTAATATATTTACTGAGAAAAATGTTGACGTGTTCAATACTTATTTTACCTGCTGTATATTAAAGGAATAGCAGTCTGTTGTCTTACAGGTTGTAGATGGCTACCAACAGTTCATAATAAAAAAAAAATTTATACTGGTATCATTTTAAGACACCAACAATCCACGTTTGTTTTTTCTGACTCGGCTAATTAGGCAAAATGCTAACTAGCGATTAGCTCATAATTTGTCCAGTCCAGTAAACAAGTTGAAAACCCTAACCATGCTAAAATCAGCCTAAAACAGTGTCATTCTTAACACTCCTGTAGCAGCTGATACGAAAGCTGTCTAATTAACCTGGCCGCACCGCAAGTGCTACAGCTAGCTGSTGCTGTCTCCAATCGTGTAACGTAATTTTTGGGACAGGAGTTGTTTCTTGACTGCAGGAACCCTGGATTGGATAAAATCGATAAGCTAACTAGCCGTTAGCTTGTGTTTTTCASCAGATTTGAACTCTGTTAACAGCTATCTACAACAGGTAAGACATTGTTTGAAACCTTTCTGCCTTTTTCAGAAGATCTGGACTGTTATTTTAAGGCTGAAATTATGACTTTGTTGTGAAGTGATTCTTTATGATGACACAAAGGTTTTCTTTCTCCTGTCTGATTTATGGTGTCTTCAGTGAAATCATTTATTAATCAACACTGAGCTCTGATCCTGAACTGATGAGGCATCTGATTATATGCATGTTTTTTTATAAATCATAAGTTAAAACACAAATTTAACTCTTCAGTTTCTGGCAGCTAAATCTGTTTTCCTTCTTTTAGCGCCGTTAAAGAGGAAATCCCAGACAACGACCAAGAGAGAGGCAACGAGGAGGCAGAAGGGGTAGGTGGGAATGAGCTGTGGGTGATTTGCTGYGGCGGCCATCTTGAATCAAGTTGTATTTTTAAAGTCTGTGTAGTAACTCGATGTTTTTCTAACAAAACAAAAATAATCAATAAGCTTTTAGCTTCAGATCAGTTTTTGTTCATCCTGCAGGAGGGCAGCGGCCACGAGGACGGCGAAGACGCAGACGGAGAAGATGAGGACTTCGAGCTGGAAGGAGACGAAACATCTGATGAGTCCGACTCTGAAGAACTGGATGAAAAAGGTAGAACTAAAAAAAAAACCAACAAATTCTGAGGGATAAATGAAAAAGAACAGTTGGAGGAAAAGAAGCAGAAAGCTAGCTAAAAGCAAAATGCTACATAAATGCTAAAAAGCAACAAAAGACTAGCTAAAGGTAGCAAAACTATCACTATAAGCATATATGGGTAAGCTAAAAGTAGCTAAAGGCTTGTTGAAACTAAAAAATATATAACTAAGTAAAAAAACATTAGCTATAAGGTAAAGCAGCTAAAGTAGCTAAAATGTAAAAGTATTAAAAGGCTAAACAAAGGCCAAAACTATTAAAATGTTAGCTATAAAGCAGTTTGCTAAAAACTAAAGTATAAAGGCTAGCCAGAAGCTAAGAGGATCAAGTCTGACTAAATGATTCATGTGACCAAAGTCAAAAATAGTGCAACGATTGATAAAAGCTAAAATAGCAAAACAATAGTTAAAAGGAGTAAAAGAACAGCTTAAAATGTCAAAAAGCTAGCTAATAGCTAAAAATATTAAATTGCAAGCAAAAAGCTGAAAATAACAAAGGATGGATTAAAAGTATTGAAAAGCTAAAAAACTAAAATACGAACTGAAAGTAATAAAAGGCTAGCTAAACATGGGAAATACTAGCTAAATGTAGCAAAAGGCTAGTTAAAAGTATCAAAATCTACCTAAAAGCTAAAAACACTAAAACAATAACTGAAAGTAATAAAAGGCTAGCTAAACATTGGGAAATGCTAGCCAAAAGTAGCACAAGGTTTGCTAAAAGCTAAAGTAGCATTGTAAATAAGTATCAAAAGACTTTGTACAAGCTAAAAATATTAGAATGTAAGCTAGAAGCTAAATGTATGATAAGGCTGGCTAGATAAAACTTATAATTATCTTTCAAAGAAAATAATGTTTTTAATGAACCAAATACATTTTAATGCATTTTAAGGGAGAAGTGTTCATAAAAAGGACATTTTTTGAAAAATATGGAAGTTAAAAAACCAGAGGTTGTAGCAGCCATCTCCTGATGATAAGTGTACAAAACTGCAGGAGTCATCAGTTTTTGACCATCATTTCCCAGACGGTCACAGAGTCAGCTGATTGTGTTTGTGTGCAGAAAACGTCCAGGCCGATCTGGCCAACATCACCTGTGAGATCGCCATCAAGCAGAAGCTGATCGACGAGCTGGAGAACAGCCAGCGGCGCCTCCACACCCTCAAACAGCAGTACGAGCAGAAGCTGATGATGCTGCAGAACAGGATCCGAGACACGCAGCTGGAGAGGGACAAAGTGCTGCACAATATGGGTGAAAGCAGAAATCTGTGCTGATTAATATCTGCCTTCAAATAGTTCATTGATTTACTCTTCCTCTCTGTAACTCCAGGTTCAGTGGAGTCGGGAACCGAAGAAAAGGCCAAAAAGATAAAGGTGGAGTACGAGAAGAAACTGAGCTTCATGAACAAGGAGCTGCAGAAGCTCCAGGCGGCTCAGAAGGAGCACGCCCGCCTCCTGAAGAACCAGTCCCAGTACGAGAAGCAGCTCAGGAAGCTCCAGCAGGACGTGACGGAGATGAAGAAGGCTAAAGTAGAGTCGTTTTTACACAAACACATTTTCTGCCAGAGTTCGTTTTAACTCCTGCTGTTCTGCGTTCCACCACCAGGTGGCGCTGATGCGTCAGATGAAGGAGCAGCAGGAGAGGAGCAGGGCCACAGAGACCAGGAGGAACAGAGAGATTGCCTCTCTGAAGAAGGAGCAGCGCAGAGCAGAGGCAAGAAGGGTTTAAATACTCAAAGAAAATGTACGTATTTATACATAACAAATATTTAAGTCCTTCTTTGTCGCTTCAGCATCAACTGAAGCAGCTGGAGGCCCAGAAGAGACAACAAGAGCTGATCCTCCGCAGGAAGAATGAAGAGGTGAATCAGTTCGTCCTTTAAGAAGAGCTAAAACTGTGACAAACTCAAGCTAAAACCACTAGCTAAAACTATCGAAAGGCTAGTTAACTGTATCTAAAACAATAACTAAAAGTTCACATTTATACAACAATACAAGCTAAAAGTAGTCCAGCTGTTGCTTAAAAAAGCAAAGAACTACTTAAAATTAGCGTGTTAAGGCTAAAAGCTAYAAGTAACAAAACACTAGCTAAAATTATAAAAAGGCTAAAAGTAACTAAAACATTAGTCTAAATTTGAAAGTAGCTGAACTGTGAATAAAAGTGGCACAAGACTTGGTAAAAGCTGAATATTGCATATAAACGCTAAAAGCTAATTAACAAAACACTAGCTAAAAAAATCTAACTGGTAACCAAAACAACTAAAAGATCAAGTTTCATAATAAGACAAGCTAAAAAATTTTCAATAGTGGCTAAAAAACAATAAAAAGCTACCTAAAAGCAATAAGTCGTGTATGTAGGTAAAATGCTAAATTACCAAAACACTAGCTAAAATACCAAAAAATAGTTTAAATTCAAAGTAACTAAAATGATGACTAAAATTCATACAGTAAGATGAACTAAAAGTCGTCCAATTAGGCTAAAATTAACTAAATGCTAGCTACAATTAGCATTAGGCCGGCTAAAAGCTGACTGTAGCAAAAGTCTTGCTAAAAGCACAAAAAAACATTAGCTTAAAGTTAAAAGTAGCAGAAATGTTGATAAAAGCAGCAAAAGACTAAGTAAAGTAAAGTAGTTGAATGGTACCTAAATGAAGCAAAAGCTAAAAAACAACTAAAACATTAAAAGCTAAAAGTATCAAAAACCACAGCTAAAATTAAAAGTAGCAGAATGCTAGCTACAAGTAGCTAAAGTCTAGTTAAAAGCAAACATTTAAGAACATTAGGTAAAAGTTTGACGTAGCAGAACTGTAGATAAAATTAGCAAAGGATGAGCTAAAAGTATTCCAGTGGTAGCTTAAAAAAGGAAAAAAGCTAAAAATCGTACATCAATGCAAAAAGCTAAAAGTAGCAAAAGGTAGCTAAAAACAGCAGACTGCTAGGCAAAGGTTTAATCAATAATGATTGCTAACAGTAAATGGTGCACAGCTTATTGCACGTTTTTAAAGCACTGATTTAATTTTATTTTATTTCCAATGAGCATATCTGTGGGCAGTGGGGGCACAGCGTGTTGGAGCTGCACAGCGTCGGCACAATAAGTGGGTTCAGATCTGGTCCTGTGGTCCTGTCTGCAGGTGACGGCTCTGAGGCGACAGGTCAGACCCACGTCTGGGAAGGTGAGCAGGAAGGTGAGCTCACCTGAGTCTCTCCAGGAGCCTTCACAGAGAGGAAACCCTGGACGGCTGCAGTCATCGGGTCCGAGCGCTTCCAACGGAACCAGGTACGGCTGTGGAAACACGCAGCGCGTCCAACACACACACACACACACACACGCTGGCTTCAAGAGCGCTGACAGAGTTCCTCTTCCTGTTAGGAGTTCCCACGTTCGGAGGGGAAACGTTTACCACAACAGAACCGCCCGCACCAAGTGGCAGTCTTTGGAGAGGCGTGTCAGTGACATCATCATGCAGAGGATGACCATCTCCAACATGGAGACGGATATGAACCGCCTGCTGAAGGTAAAACAAGATTATTGTGAGGAATCTCTTTAAAATATCAATAATTTTTTAATTAATTATTTATTTATTTTAATTTAAAAAAAATCAATAAATTGCATGTTTACCTTTTGTTCCTGGCCCTTTCTCCAGCAACGGGAGGAGCTGACCCGGCGGAAGGAGCGTCTGTCCAGGAAGAGGGRCAAGATGGCGGTGGACGGCGCGGACGCCGAGCGCTCGCTGGCTTCCCTGAACGAGGAGCTGGAGTCTCTGAGCGCCAACGTGGACTACATCAACGACAGCATCGCCGACTGCCAGGCCAACATCATGCAGATGGAGGAGGCCAAGGTGAGCTATAATCACCATAAAGGTTTATTTTACGTCGACTGAATTTCTGTTGAATCTGTTGCTTTTCTGGATCACAGGAGGAAGGAGACCCCGCGGATGTCTCTGCTGTCATCAGCTCCTGCAACTTATCAGAAGCTCGATTCCTGCTGGACAGTTTTATGAACATGGCCATCAATAAGGTAGCTGGAGTCACTGATGAACAGGTGGAAGTCATAGCATCGCGGTAAGACAGGAATCTAAACCCCTCCCGTTCGCCGTCAGGGTCTGCAGGCGGCTCAGAAAGACTCCCAGCTGAAGGTGATGGAGGGCCGGCTGAAGCAGACCGAGATAAACAGCGCCACCCAGAACCAGCTGCTCTTCCACATGCTGAAGGAGAAGGCTGAGATCAACCCGGAGCTGGACGCCCTGCTGTGCAGCGCTCTGCAAGGTGGGACCTGAACCCTGACGTCAAGCTCTTCGTCTTCATCACTGATCCAATCATCTTCGTTTACTTAACCGAGAGGCTGCGCTTTAGCTAGCAGGCTTCGGTTTCTTCAGTATATCTGAAGAAAAAACACAAAAGAAATCATAATGTATTCAGGGGCGAAGCCAGAGGGGTGGCAAGTGCATTTTCTAAACCACTGAATGAATATAAAGGAACAATTCCACCACACCAAATATTAGCTCTATATTTATAAAATACTAGCTTAATTAGCCGTTTGAATTTAGCTTTGGTAGACATCATGGATTCCTTTAGTTGGTTTTAGAATCTGTTGGGCATCACTCTCAGCTACCACCACACTAAATTTCAGCTTAATATCTCTAAAAGCTTCAAATTTAAATTTCAAAATCACATGGGGATTGCTTTTGGCTAGCACCTTGCCAAATTTCAGCTACATATTTCTAAAAAAAATGGCTGAGGTGTCCCACTATTTGAAATTAGCTTTGGTGGCCATCTTGGATTTTGTGTTTACATTCATATTTTATTGAAGATTATTCCTGGCTACCACTATTTACGTTTTCAGATGTGTTTAATGTCTTAATTATAGACTTTTGTAATATTAGCATTAGCGGTTAGCTTAAATTGAGACTGGTGATCCTTTATTGCAACATCATAATAAATTTTAACCCTGTTTAGTCGTAAAATGGTTTAATTATAGCTCTTTGTAACGTTAGCATTAGCAGTTAGCTTAAATTGGGACTAGCGATCTTTCCTCGCTAAACCACAACAAAGTTTAGCTCAATTAGTCGTAAAATGTCTGATTGTAACATTAGCGGTTAGCTGAAAATGAGACTAGCGATCATTCTTGGCTACACCACAACAAATTTTAACTCATTTTAGTTGTAAAATGGTTGAGTTATAGCCCTTTGTAAATTAGCAGTAGCAGTTAGCTTAAATTGAGACTGGCGATCCTTCTTTGCAACATCACAATAAGTTTTAAACCTGTTTAGTCATAAAATGGCTGATTAGCATTAGCAGTTAGCTTAAATTGGAACTAGCAGTTCTTCTTGGCTACACCACAACAAATTTTAACAAAGTTTAGTAATAAAATCGTTGAATTATACCTCTTTATAACATTAGCGGTTAGCTTAAATTGGATCTAGCGATTATTCTGGGGTACACCACAACAAATTTTAGCACCTTAAGTTGTAAAATGACTGAATTATAACCATTTAAAATGAGCTGTGGTGGCCATCTTAAATTTTTAAATCTATGACAATTTTCTTTATTTATATGTACCCCCAGACAACATCTTGGC